GAATGCTGCTTTAAATGGAAGATAATTATATAATGATAAAGCTATGAATTATGTAATTCATTATATAATATAGCCATGATGTAATTAAGGTATTAATTATATAATTTACTAGAAGGGATGTGATGTAATACTTTTGATAACTGACATTCTTTTTTAAAAGCAGAGATTTTGACAGCTTGCTGGAACAGTTAATACGGCTAGTTATCATTCTCAAGTTCTACAGCTGTGGAGAATGAGACTCTTCATTTCAGGGTTGTGGGTGAAAGATCCCCACATTGCAGGGGTTGAACTAAATGACCCTTGTGGCCTTTTCCAGTTCTACAATTCTATGATTCCACGATCCAGAGTAATTTCTGGTTCCTCATGGGATTTTCTTAACACCCATGAAAGTTTACCCGTTAAAAGAGTTGAGGAGACCGGCTTCCAATAAAGGCAAGATCAGCTGCTAATAAGCTAAAAAACAACAACAGACTAAAACACATGTGAAACACAACTTTGTTAACGTTTATCCGACTGTTTGTTTTAATTTTAATTTTATGTAATTGTTACATCCTATATGCTCTTTCGTAAACAAAGATATATATCAATGCAACCATGTTAAACAGTTTAAAGATGAACATGAATAAAACTATGTTACAAAAAACACACACACCACGTCAGCATTTTATATGTCTGAATAGGCTTGACTAAACAAAAATGTTTTTAACAGGCACCAAAAAACAGTGCAGTGAAGGTGCTTGGCCTGATGTCAATAGACAGGGAATTCCAAAGTATAGGTGCTGCCACACTGCGCAAGGAAAGTCCCACATAGTCTTATTATGAAAGTTCACTCTATCACATATCTAGAATAAATTTTATAGTCATGTATCCTACATTGAGTGGGTCTTCATATACAGTTTTAAGCTCGCAACTTAAACAGGGGTCATGTTCTGGGGATTGTGCCTTAAGCCAAAATTGCATATAGTCAAAACACACTAGGTGCAACGGTTGGTGAGAATGTTAAAGTCTTTCTTTCCCCTGGGTGTCTACCCACTTTAAATTTTTTATTTATTTTTTGCCATGCACATAAAGCTGAATGTGCACAAGTTGAATGAGCTTAAGTTGTGGGCTTAATGTTTATGTTTAGTATCATCTTGGTTTTTGATAAATGATAGACATACTTTTTACACAGACAGTGGTGCTTCTTTTTGTGTGTGTGTAAGGAGATGTTTGGACCAGTCACTTGCTTCTTTTTTAGCCAGCCATCTGATTAGGCCAAGTTGCTTTGAAGTCTTGTTCTGAACAGCTACGATCAACACATTTGCTACCCAAAACACCACCTCCCGCAATTTCCATATTCATCCGCAAAAACCTTCAAATATACCTATTGAATTAAATAATTGCATCCCTCTTTTCTGGCAGCTGAAACACCATCATCTCACAAATAGTGCTATTTGCAAAGTGAAAACAACCCTGTATTTTCATAAGGCATCGTTACAGTTGATTAGGTCCCACTGGGCATGTGAAAAAGTGTATTTTCGTAGCATTCTGGGACAGTCAATTCATCTGTGGAGTCACAGTGACAGATCTGACTGATCATGCTGTGCTCTAGCATCCTGATATTGGAGCACAGGAAGAAAATGGATCAGCTGAACAGACATACCTGAGAGGAGGCCCCAGGTAACACGGTATCCCGTTGCTCCACTCACGCCCCGCCAGGTCACCAGCATGCCCTGGGAGGAGATGTTCAGGGCAGACAGTTGTTGCACTCCTGACAAACCCACTGAGGATAGAGAAGGGTTAAAAAAAAACCAACACTGAAAAATGTGAAGACATGCCATGTCCATTAAAGGTAAAGGACCCCTGACAGTTAAGTCCAATCGCAGACGACTCTGGGGTTGCGGCGCTCATCTCGCTTTACAGGCCGAGGGAGCCGGCGTTTGTCCGCAGACAGTTTTTCTGGGTCATGTGGCCAGCATGACTAAGCTGCTTCTGGCGCAACGGAACACCGAAACCAGAGCAGTACATGTAAACGCCGTTTACCTTCCTGCTGGAGCAGTACCTGTTTATCTACTTGCACTTTTTTGCATGCTTTCGAACTGCTAGGTTGGCAGGAGCTGGGACCGAGCAACAGGAGCTCACCCCATCACGGGGAGTTGAACCGCCAACCTTCTAATCGGCAAGCCCAAGAGGCTCAGTGGTTTAGACCACAGTGCCACCCGCATCCTGTTACCATGTCCATTAGATATGCCATTTACCAGTATCCTACAGTCTAGATGCTGGTGCACCACAACCTCACAGAATTAATTCTTAATTAACTGCAGCACAAACTGAATGAAGGGAATGGTTCCCAATATTTACAACTGTATTTTAAACATGGTGCATGAATATTGATGTTTCAAGCATGCACCAAATAATATCTAAAATGGGATGCCTCCTCTGAACTAAAATATCTGTTTAAAACCCTCAGCTAAAGATAAATAGGCAGTCAATTGAAAAGTGCTACAGCACTGCCAGCCTACATCTCTCAAAATCTACAAACGCATGTAAAACATGGGAGAGACTGCAATTCCTTAGGAACTCATTGGGGCTAGGTTTAGGGACAAGCAACTTTGGCGATTGTCTGGGGCAACTCGGGGTTGCCTGTCCATGCACTGGGCACTAAACTGTTTAAATAAATAACACAAACAATTCATATAGCACAAATAAGTATAGGTTTACAGATCCCAACATGCAGATTTATCATCTAAGGAAACAAGGATGAATCATGGCTGTGCGTCATGCATCCAAAGTCGTGAAATGGGCAACAGATGCAATAAAAATTAAAGTGTTTCATAAATACAATAAGAATATTAACGTATTAAAAACACAGCGATTGTCAGAATCACTGGCAGAGGAAATTATTTCTACCTGCAGGGGGGAAATGTAAAAATCAAAGCATGAATACAATCTTCGTTTGCCATCTCTCTCTTCCCAGTTCTCCAAGTCTGATGGTCTTAACTGAGATGGGACTTACACGTTCGGCCATTGATCACGGCAGGTGCCACTGTCTGACGGGGGTAGATCGGGTAGAGTGTGATCATATAGTCAGTGTTGGGACGAAGGTTGCTGAGCAAGGCTGAAGTAGCACTGGGCCCAAGACTGATCTCCTCGGGCTGAGTTTCACCTTTGATTGGAAATGAACAAGGAGAACTTCAGGGACACAAATAACAGAAGTGCGAAGGCACACAGCATTACCAGAGACCCCACACACAAATGACATCATTGGTTATGTGAGCTGCTTCTTATTTCAAAACACTGCTGGCAAACAAGTCCTCACTGGTTCTTTTATTTTTGAAATTTTAAGCTAATGGCCTGCATATAGTCAAGAACATGACCAAGTCTGAAGACTGAAAGGTGAGGAGATTCACAGCTCTAAGTCAAAGCACCCACGCTGACCGGAGGGGCACATACATACTGAAGCCACTGCAGGGTGCAAGCACTTCTCCTTCTTTCAGAATATTCCTCCATCTTCAATACATAATAGAGAGTCCCAGTTTCATTATGTAACCCCAACTTTTAATTTGGTGGCCATGTCAGCTTCTATGTGATATTATGGAGGTTAAGGCTATACATGGTTATGTTTCACCTCCGCATACCCATGTGAATCACAAGTAGGGAGAATGCTGCAGCACTTGGGTCCTGAGGGCTGGACTAGATGGGTTCCTGGTCTGATCCAGCAAGGCTCCTCCTATGCTCTTATGATCTTCCTTCCATTTCCTGGAGGAATCTATGGCCTATTTGAGAATCCAATCAATCCACATGTGGACAACCAAGGAGACATACTGTGCAGGTTCAGAGAGGGTCTTTGCCTATGGTAAAGACGCCCTAGTCTTACAGGTTCATGGTGGAGGGTCAAACTGTCCCCTCCAAGTCTCACCCAGGCAGCACTTCCTGAGCAACAGAAGGTATGCACATGAGAGAGAAAATATCTGTGTGCATGGCTGATGGCAGCAGGTAGAGGTGGTCCATCTAGTTGGGGTCCATCCCTGCCCCACCATGAATTCTTGTATGTCCCCACTTGTTTATGTAGGCATCTCTCAAATTAGCAGCAGATACACACATCTCTGAGTTTCTGGATCACTGCAGCCAACTGCAGGAGTCTAAACCACTGAGCAGGGACCTGAGCACGGGGGCTGAAAATGGGTGCCAGGGGTGACCTCTCCAACAATGATAGGCAAAGGACTTGTGGGGGGGAGGACATGGGTAGACATGGTTTGGTTCCACTGTGGTTGACACTGCAGCCATTTGGCTCCTGTATGCAGAGCCAAACAGCAGCCCAAGCGGTGGCTGCTTTTGCTGAGCTCAGCAGCATGTTGGTGCCCACAGGGCCAGCATTCTCTGCATTGCCATGGCAACAGGTGTGGCCACCCAGTGGGTGAGGCTCTGGGAGATCTGCCAGGGCTCTGAGCACTGGGATGGCTGCAGGCTGGGGAGGGGCAGCTCCAGGTGCAGCTTCCAACAGGCACAAAACACAGGAAATGGTAGAGGGAATCTTCCAAACAGCCTCCACTCCCCCAAGCCTGGACTCTCTCTCTCAGCACAACCTAAACTGTGGCAACAACGCGCATGTATTGCGACACTCAGGAACACGAGGAGATGCTCAGGCAGCACGTTCACAGCTGAACAGAGGGACTCCACGCACTGGCACAAGCTGTTCCTCCACCCCACGCTGTCTCAAGGCTTTGTTTTCAAACTGTGCTATTACACAGAGCGTAAGCCTCATCAACAAGAGCTCCTGCCACAAGAGTGGGGCTGAGCTGTGCTTCTGCAAACTCCAGCATGGCTGAGCTTCTCTCTTGCGATCAACAACCTGCCTTCTACCAAAGAGCACTGCTTGCCCTCCTGCTGCAGCTGGAGCCTTGAAAGGCAAGGAAAACATGACAACAGCACCCACCCAACAGCCACAATGGCTATGTTCTATCTCCACTGTCAGAGGCAAGATGTCTTTGAATTCTAGTTTCTGGGAATCACAGGTGGGCAGAGTGCTACTGCACTCGGGTCCTGATTGCAAGCTTTCTGCAGCCATCTGGTTGGCCATTGTGAGAACAGGATACTGCACTAGGTGGGCCATGGGCCCGATCCAGCAGGCTCTTCTTACATTCTTATCCCAGTTACAGATAGGTAGCCGTGTTGGTCTGCCATAGTCAAAATAAAAAAAAATCCTTCCAGTAGCACCTTAAAGACCTTAAAGTATCTGAAGAAGTGTGCATGCACACGAAAGCTCATACCAAGAACTAACTTAGTTGGTCTTTAAGGTGCTACTGGAAGGAATTTTTTTTATTCTTATCCCAGATATTAAACCAGGAGGCATTCTAAAGATTTTCCAGAGTTGCTTCTCAGTATCCTTAGGACCAAATTAGCTTATAACCTATGACTGCTGCCCAGAGCCCGTGTTGTCTCCTGGTACTTCTTGGCAACAATTCAGGCACAACATCATCACCCTCAGCATTTACTCTGCTTAGTCGGCAGCTGCTTAAGGGGTGGGTGGGAAACGCTGTGTCCAATGATGGTTTACAGTGCAGGTGAAAGCAGCAGCCTTTAAAGCTCTTGAAAGAGTTCAGTCAGTCTTACAGTTGTTCTGCAGTGCTTCCACCTAACAACAGGACTGATTGGTATTTCTGATCCGTAAATGCCAACCCTGCCATGATCTTCACTCACCTCTGCCCAGATACGTGAGCCTATAGCCCTGTAGGGTGCCCAGACCAGGGGCCCATGACAGCCTAAGGAAGGTGGGTCCTGCATCCAACACTTGGAAATTTGTCACTCCAGACACAGCCTCTGTAAGAGAAGGAAGATATGTCTGTGTGCCCTTCATGTGGGAATGAGACACACAGTGGGTGTGAGATGAAAAGAAGGCAGCTGCCCCAGTTACCAGCCGGTGCCAAGAGGAGAAAAACAATAGGAGTTTGCTAAGCCAAGAGTAAGAGTGAGCAACTGAGTAACACCAAAGGCCAACATGCAACTGTTGTCATAAGCTAATTTAGGTGAGTCCTGCTCCCTGCATTTCAGATTGTCTCAATCTGTACTGCTATATCCACCACAACCTAGAGTTAAGAGCTGTGTGGGATGCACAAATGAGAATATGACATATTCTATCAATAGCCTCCCTATTGCTACCATCAGTTACAAAATCCCAGATGGCAGCACTAATATATAATATACAGTGGGACCTTGGTTTAAGAACAGCTTATCTTATGAATAACTTGGATTAAGAACGCTGCAAACCCGGAAGTAGGTGTTTTGGTTTGTGAACTTTGCCTTGTAAGCAGAACATGGTTGGCTTCCTGTTGAGTGTGTTCCACTTGTAAATTGAGTCCCCCACTGCTATGGGAAAGTACGCCTTGGTTTAAGAATGCAATTCCAGGACGGATTAAGTTCATAAAACAAGGTACCACTGTGTGTGTGTGTGTGTGTGTGTGTGTGTGTGTGTGTACACACACATACACACACACACACACACACATACATGTATATATATATATATATACACATGTAAAACAATATTCAGTAATAGGTTCTGAACACAGTTAAGTCAATAAAAACAAATGAAAGAATCACAAAACTGTAGAGTTGGAAGGGACCACAAGGGTCATCTAGCCCAACCCCCTGCAGTACAGGAATCTGTACTTCATAATCAGTCCTTCCTTCCCAAAGCGAGTCCTAACAGCAATAAAACTACTGTGCATAAAAACCATTTAAGACACCACTGGTAATGACACAGTTGGTACCTGCAGTGTAAATATAACACAACAGTGGCAACTTGATTTTAATAGCAGCAGTTAAAAGAACAACTCATGAGCATCACAAAAGCAGTGCAAAACCAGATTCAGCTAGTATTTAAGGAGGCCCAGGGAAATAAAAAGGTCTTTGCCAAAGGGACATGTAAGTAGGAGTTAGGTAAGCCTATCTGGGGAGAATATTCTAAGCATGGGGTGCCACAGCCAAAAAGACACAGCCATCAGTTGCCAAGTACCTAACTTCAGAAGGTGCAGGCACCCATAGAAAGGTCTCCAATGATGAACTCAGCGTACATGCAAGGTGCATGTGAGCTCTAAAAAGGAGGGAAGCAGCAGGTGGATCTGGAGCCTGACACCAAAGACCCAAGGTTTCTGTATTAATGGTGATGCCAAGATCAAAAGTAATGTCAGCCTCAATAACTGTGGGTTGCATACACATATAGTCCAACTCAGAGTAGGCTCATTAAAATAAATGGACACTTAATGGGTTTCCTCTGAGTGAAATTTAGTTGGATACAACTCCTTACATTTTTCCTCCCTGAGCCTCCTCAAAAATAGGCTACAACTGCACAGACTAAGCACCATTCATTGAACCTCCTACTGCTGCAATTGTCCCAAATGCGGCCACCTCACACACTAACTCACATACCAACTACCATGTTCCCACACAGAAAGCAATCCTCACACAGGAAAATGCACAAAGCCCACATGCATACAAGGAAACCCAAACAAATTACGCTCTTGTGAAGAGTCACCACAAAGAGGCATACACAGAACGTCTCCAAGAAGTTGTGGAAATATGGGATTATCAGAGGCAGAAGTTGTTACTCACGAGTACGTCCTTTGCCAGACACGGATTCTCCAATGCTGTTGGCATACTGAGCAATAACAGTCACCAGGTAATCTGTGCCTCCCCTCAAACCACGTAGCACGGTACTCGTCTCACCAGGTCCCAAACTAACCTGTCCAATAGCAGGAATGAATAGAAAAAATAGCTTCAGATAGTATGACGAATGCATCAGTCCCTAGTCATGTGTGACAAAAACACTTGTATCCATTTTAACTGCGTGCACATGAAGGAGGAAGCCATGACTACCAGTGGCCTCCTATAACATAGTGAACTGTGTGGGTGACTTCTTACACTAAATTAGCACCTGGACAGTAAAGCCTGGGTGAAGCAGCCAAAGGGCTACAACAGAAGACAGGTAGAGGGAGAACCTTGAGTTTCAACTGGAGCAACAGTACTGAGGGAGGAGTGTCTAACCCAGCCTTTGCCAACCTGGTGCCCTCCAGGTCTTTCAGACCCAAACTCCCACTGGCTAGACCCTATCAGGAGTTGGCCCCAAACATCTGGAAGGCACCAAGCCCAGGTTAACCCATTTCTCTTCGCTGGTTTCCTTATCTCTATCCAATCACACAAACTCCCCAAAGTTGTGGGGGGAAACACAGGCAAGATCCATGGACCTCTCTATTTTCTCTCTCTGTGGAGTTAACTGCAGCTTGTAAGGGAGGGCATATAAACTGGGTAAATAGTGCAAAAGTAAAATGTAAATGCACACACAGCTCTGGTCAAGTTTATTCCTGGGTGCTTAAAAAAGTAAAATTTCCACAAATTCTGAAGCCATTTCATTTCCGCCCCCCAGGGAAGATGGCAATATGTAGGGGTGGTTGGACTAAAATATCTGCAACATTTACTTCCTTATCAACCCTAAGTTTAAACCTCCGGAGGGCAGGGGTAACAACATAAAATGCATCATTTATGTTTTAAGCTACAATCCAAGCCTTCCTTACACTGGGCTTGGGGAGGAGGGCTTGGACTGAGCAGAGATGTTGTTCGACTCGCTTCTGCCAGCTGAGCTGGCCTCTTTCTAGTTGCTGCCGGTGGACTGACAGACACAAGTGTCACTCTGTCAGCGCAGATTTCCCCGCTTCTGCCTGCCAAACATGCAGCCAGGCGGAAAAACTTGCTGGCAGTATCCACAAAGCGCTAAAACAGGGTGTTCCAAGAGAAGGGCTGAGCTGGTCTGGGATCTGCTGGCTCCCAAGCTGCTCTCACAGGGTTGGAGTTGGTCCCATTCCCTGCATCCACTCCAGGCTTTCCCCGCCCCTTCCCCGCCATGAGTGGCCAGGCTGTGGATGTGGTGCTGGTTTCCACCACTCCACAGGGTCCCCATCAGTGGGGAGTTAGGATTAGCCTGCCTTTTGTGACTTACAGCTAGGAAAAGACACCTAGGACTGCGCTGAAATGGGAAGCCTCACCTCCTGCCTCTCAGCTGTTATTTGCTGCCCCAAGCCTGTGAGAGGCACATACTGGACTTTGTAGCCTATTACAGGACCACCAGCTGCTGTCCAGCGGATCCTCAGCATATCTGTTCCCTGCTCCAAGAAGACCAAATTCGAGGGGCCACCATATGTCTCTGTACCTTAAAGTGGAGGGGAGGAAACAGAGAGAATAAATCAAGATCCTTGCTGGCACATGCAGCTCACCACAGGCCCAGAAGGTAAGGTGAGCAAAGGCCAAGAATTTCAGAAAAGCAGTTCCTTCCCCCCCCCACCCCCACAAAAAAGCTGAAAGGATTTGTAGAACGATGAGCAACTTATGTTGACACCAGCAAGCACTGGAGGGTAAGAAGATTGAATGCTACCCACCCGCAGGGTGAGGTTAAACCAACACTGAGCTTAGGTCAGGGTTCCTGGTGGAGTATCACATTGATTAGATCAGGAGCTTCCTCCAGGATTTGCTGATGCATTTCCATGGAAACAGGGCAGGCTGGGAATTAACCCCTTGCAACCCTTGCCAGAGAGAGAGAGAGAGAATCAGGACCGAAGCAGCACTTCAAAGCTGAGCGGCACCTGCACCCCACCCCGAACCTTTTACCTGCTGGCTGTAGGATGCCCCCGGTGCTGGTGCACACCCTCCGTGACACCAGCGGCAAGAGAGTTGAGAGGATTTTAAAGTCAGTGACAAAGAAGAAATAATCCTCCGTGGGGGTGGAAGCCACTTTGGTCAGCTCGCTGCTGTCCGCGTTCTTGATGCCTGAGTGGGAAACAGAGGACTCTGGTAGCAATTGTCTTCAACCACCTTCAAACCTACATTTTCCCCTTCTTTGGGGTTTCCTAACCCTCTGTCTTTTCCATGCACTGGAGTGTTGGGTCCTCTCTGTGCATAGTCCTGGATACATAATGGCCCTTGATTACAGGCTAAGGCAAGAACATAGGAAATCTGACCATCGGTCACTCTAGCTTAGTATTGTTTACAGTGAAGGGCAGATGATTATTGCCTTCAATGAGCAGGCAGCTACTCTCTAGTCTCAAACAGAGGAGATTCTCTTTCCTCAATTCCTTACATTCCAGGAGTTAAAACCTGGGCCTTCTGCATCCAAAGCAGATGTTCTACCACCAAGCTACAGCCCTCCCCTTGCCACCATGTGAGCACTTTAAGTAGAGGGCTGCTGTGACAGGTACAGACAGTGCCTGCAACCCACACAAGGACTGTGCCAATTTCTCTCCTAATTGTAACAGACCCAAACAGGCTCGCACTGTACCCTCATGCGATGCTGCAGCCAACACTGCAACACAAGATATTTTCATGGCTTGTTGAAGAAGGGACAATTGCACATGTTCAACATTCAAAATCATATGTGATTCACCACTGTTGAGATATAACATTTGGGGTGTGTGTGTGTGTCTATATCTTCTTATTAGGTTTTTTTTTTGAAAATGTTAAAAGCATAAAATGAGCCCTGATGGATCAGACCAATGGCCCATCTAATCCAGCATCCTGCTCTCACTATAGCCAACCACTTCCACATGTTCACCCCAGGTACATGTGCCATCTGTGAGAGGGAAGATTGCCAGGGATAACAAAACTAGGAGGCTCATCACCTGCTTGCAAAGTCCTTGTTCCCTGCCTAGGCCTCCTCATGTGGCAAGTAGGAACTGGTATAGATGTTAACCAGCATCACCCACCGAGCTCTGCTTTTTCATATAGAGAACCAGCGGCAGGGTGAGGGAGCAGATGGTAGGAGCCAGAGATTACGGGAAGATACGACTGTATGGGGGATGGAGGAAGGGAGAAGTTCTCACAAATGTTGTCCTTCCTGGGTCCCAATCTCTCACGGGACCTGAATGCAGTAGACACTCACCCACAGCAAAGACTTTAATGCCTTGATCCTTCAGCTTTGCAGCTGCCCCCTCAACTTCATCCTGAGACTTTCCATCTGTGATGAGGATGCAGATCTGATGCAGAGAAGGGAAAGTTATAAGCCATGGAGGTACCCTCAACAAGGAGTTGTAGCAAAGTGCCTCTTTCTGAATTTACATTGGTGCAAACTTTTTGGATCCTTCACCTAAGCCGGGTAGCTCAGATGCAGGGGGAATGGTGAGGGGTTGCTGCATGTGACCTATTTTAAAGGAATGTGCATCATCACAGCCTGGAGGTAGCCCCCCCCTTCTGTCTCTCTGAACCTTCCCAAAGACAGGGATAGCTAATTATTCAGCTTCATGACATGCATGCTCCAACACTGCCAGAACCCAAAAGAGAGGCCACCAGGAGGCTAAGAAGTCCCACCAGCATATTACCCTGCTGCTTTGACCACTGACTTCCCACTCATCCAGCCACCCTTCTCTCTGATCTAGCAGAAGACACTCTCTCACGGTACCTTTGGAACATTAGGCCGGATCTGACTGGCTCCAAAGAAGTTATCTGCCACATGGCGAAAGCCTGCCCCTGTCCGCGTGTTCCCAGACTTGTAGGCCATCTCTCGGACAGCCTTCATCACCGCTGTCCCATTGCGGTATGTGGAGAACGTGAACTCGGTCCTGGGATCAAAACGAAAGGAAAGGTCAGGGGAGGAGGCAGGAGCAGAAGTCACAGGACCTGCCAGCCCATCTCTTGAGTGGAATCCACTGAATGAGCCACCATTTCTTTATGAGCAGCCTTGTGCATCACCCAAAAGTTTTTCAGAAATTCCCAGTGGTGCTCTTAAGGAGTTTCTCCAGGTGTAAGTGGAGTGGCTGGCTCTTCAGAAAAGGAAAATGAGACCATGCTGTGAATCCAGGTTTCTTTTATATGTCTCAAAGGGGGTTGAAAGTAGGAAAAAAAGACACCCCAGCCATTTTTATAGCCAGCTTAAACTACTACTATCATCATCATTATTTACTGAATTTGTATAACGCCCTTCATCCAAAGACCACAAGGCAGTTCACAACATAAACATGCAAAATGAAAACACAAAATGCATAACAAAGGCAAAACAAACTAATATCCCTCCTCCCACAGACACATTTAAAAGGCCATATAATGTTAATCAGCCAAATGCCTAATTGAGAAGAAGCTCTCTACAGAAGTTCTATTAAATTAGTCAGCTCTGTGAATAAGAAGCACCTTCTCTCCCTTGGGCATTGTGAGGATCATACTGCAGGAATGCAGAGAACTTTGAACACAAATCTACATTATGACAATGGAAAGCTCTAGAACACTTCCCCCAACATGGTGGACTCAAGATGTTGTTGGTCTGAAACTCCCATCATCCTCAACAATTGGCCATTGGCTGGCTAGGTCTGAGGGGAGCTGGAGTTCAACAACATCCAACAGGTTGGAGGAAGGCTATTCTATAGTAGCCTATAAGACGGGGGTGCCAGATTCAGATGTTGATGGACTCCAACTTCCATCATCCCAGACTATTGGGCCATATAGATTAGGGCTGATAGGAGTCCAACTACAAAGACCTGAAGGGTCACAAGTTAGCCACCTGCACTATGAGAAAGGCCCTGCTGGATCAGGCTGAGGGCCAGTCGAGTCCAGCTCACACGCTCTTTTTAACAGTCATCCATCAGGCACCTCTGGAAAGCCTATGGGCAGGGCATGAAGGCATGAATCCCTTGCTGTTTTTCCTCCTCAGCACCTGGTATTCAGCAATACACTGCCTCTGATCAGAGAGGTCCCATTTGACAGCCGCAGTCATTGGATAGACCCATCTACCATGAATTTGCAGCTCCTGCAAATACTGCTGGAGGGCAGAGAGGTTGGGACTCACCTGGGTTCGTCACTGTACTGCACGGCTCCAAAGCGCACCCCTCTCTCACCCACCACATTGACAAAAGGGGCAACCAGCCCCTCCATGAAGTTCCGGACCATTTGGAAGTTGGCTCTTCCAATGCTAGAGGATCCGTCCACCAGGAACACAATGTCGGCCGTGTAGACGTTGGAGCAGACCACTGTAAAACAACAACCCATGGCTCAGATGGTTCACTATCACATGAAATACAGAAACATGATAGGCATCCCATTTTGGGGTCAGAGGCTGGGTATGGCCAGCCTTGCACCCTGCTTCTATATAGGCCAAAAGTCCGTCCCAGAAGCCTTTTAGAGAAAGGGCTGTGTATTCTCAGGTTGGCGTTGCATTCACTGCTGCCATTCACAGCCACTCACAAAGCAGACAGAAACGTATCTGCACACCAATCAGGTGTCCTTTACACTGGGAGTTACTTCAGTGCCTCATACACACCACATTCCTTTAGAGTTAAGTCATCAGAAAGAGATAGCTTGGGGCTCCAGCTCCCACAGGGGCAGACAGAACCATTCCTATTCCAAGAGGGTGACAGCCTCTTTCCCTCTTTGTGCATCAAGTCCATAACTGGCCCTCTAAATTCCCAAGTCTCCATCCTATGGAAGGATTGGAGGGGAAAGAGGAGACAGCAAGTCCTGGCTTAATAACTGGCACAGCTGAAGTGGGGAAAGAAATGCTATCTAGAATCATGATATTTGATTTAGGAGGTGAATAGAGAAGGAGTGTCTTTTTCTGTAACAAAGGGACCATGGTAAATTCCTTTGCTTCAGCCCAGACGCACAGTTAGGGAGTGGAGCCCAAATTTTTTGAAGATGGTTTTTTAATTGTTTTTTTCCTCCTGTTGCCAGGTGCTATGGGAAAGTGCAAGCCTATCTGCAAACACTTGCAAAGAAGCCAGTCCTTGACACCTCAGTGGAGCTATAAGATGCTCAGTTTTCACTCAACAGAGCCACAATATGCTCCTCAAGGGGAAAATCAGTTTTTAAAACTATGAACTCCTTCTCCTTGGATATCAAGAGGAAGTGAGTGTATTGGTACCAATGGGACACTGAATGGAACATGAATGTGAACAGAGAAGCTTTAGATAGGTAGCCAAGAACATCTGCATGCTTATCTTTGATCTGGAAGCTTTCAGGCAAGAGAGAAGGATGAGAAAGGGTGGAAAAGGAAAGGTCACTAAGTGCAATGGACCTTTCTCAGCAAAATAAACACTCCAACATGAAACAAAACCTTTGGCAAACTATTTCGAAGCAAAGCCAGAGCAATTATCAGTGTTAAGTTTTGGTTAGGATAGGTGGAACCATCAAACCGCTTGTCATGCTTGTAGCATGGGTGGGAAACCTCTGGACCAGAGATTTTGATGCTTAAAATGGGAGTGAAGGGAGACTTGCAAAGTCACGCATTTGACAGGTGGGTAGCTCTAGGCAGTGCAAGCAGCGTGCACCCTGCATGACAGGTTCATGACATGAACATATCTTTCTGTTTCACGAGCTAACAACTATGGTTGAATTCTTCTAAAGAAGTGAGGGCCAGAAGCCAGCATTAAACCATGGTTTAAAGTTGCCTAACAAATCCCAGCTTATTTCAAAGCCAGGGTGTTAAATGCCTGGAGACTGTAAGTAGGTCAGGAAGGGGTCAGGAGAGATGGGTGAGAAGGAGCACCTGTGCACCCAACTTCCTGCCAGCGGCCTCACTGCTGCTTACACCAGGTATCCTGGCTCATCCTAGCTAAAGTCCATGAACTCAGGTGCTGATTCTTTCCAAAAGTTTTAATGCTCAAATCAGTGTGATACATATGCAAATGATACATAGGCAGAGGCACAGCAGGCAATACACAGCTCTCCTCAAGGCATGAATAAATGAAGGCACAGCAGGCAGTATGGTTACTTCCACAACACCATGTCCCTTGCATTCTCATGATAATGGAATGGAGAAGGCACAACTTAGCATGGCAAGCAGTTCTATTCTGTTCACAGCTTCTCTGGTGTCTAAGGGACCTAGTGCATTGCAAGTAGCCATCTTTGTCGTCTTCCAAAGGCTGCAATGCAGAGATAATGTTTCACCAGGGAAAAAGAAATCAGAAAACAGGGACTGTCTCTGGTAAACAGAGAGAGTCAGAGCTATGCATATGCCACCTCTATCTTCATTCCAGCAGGGCAATGCAGCCAAACCAAGTTCACCCTTAGCATGAGCCTCCGAGTGGTGCTGGAAGCATCACCTCTCCTATTCCATTCCTTCACCCTTTCCCCCCTTTTTTGCTACCCTCTCCTCTCCCTTCACTCTCTCTTGCTGGAATGCAGACTAAGATCCTTGGGATGATGGGAGTTGTAGTCCAACAGGTGTTGTATTCAAAGTAGTGCTAAGGAGAACGTTCCATCAGAACAAAAAATTCTCTTTGCACAACAGAACATTCTCCTACTTTTCCCTTTCCCAAATGTATTCTGAGGGTTCCTCCAACCTTCTGCAACAGATTTGGGTATGGGGCAGGGTGCACAGGGTTGGAGGAGAGGGGTGGGGACCATTGTGCTACTGCTAATCCTTGTGCTTGTGCAACCATATAGTTGCATAGCACCCGTGTGGGTTTTTTTTTAATGTTCTTAGCATGCACAGATGAAGACACAAAGCTGCCTTACATTGAGGTAGACCAGCCCTGGTCTTCTGACTGACAGTGGCCCTAAAGGTCTCCACTGGAGGATTCCCACCCCCCGGCCCAGGCCCTGCTCTTTCAGATGCTGAGCACGTACTCTGAGCTATGGAACCATTCCATAGTGTTACACATGTCACAATCCACCTACCTCTCTCCCTTTTCTGAGCCATAACTTGCGCTGAAGCAAAGAGCGTGGCATGGAGCGCAGTGAGGAACAGCATCTCCCCTCTCATTGTGGGAGTCTGTAAAAGAGAACAAGAGAAAAGGTGATGGCTCAGGAGGCAAGAACGTAACATGAGCAGTTGCAAGTTGCTTCAAAATCACGGCAACACCTCACTTGACAGTCCTAGTTCTAGTCATCCCCACTGGTATTGGCGACTGCAAGCATGATAAAGACATGACCAGTGCTCAGGGATGATGGGAGCTATAGTACAGCAACACCTAGAGCAGCAGTTCTCAACCTGTAGTTCCCCAGATGCTGTTGGACTACAACTCCCATCATCCCTGAGCTCTGGCCTTGCTAGCTGGGGGTGATGGGAGTTGTAGTTCAACATCTGGGGACCCTCAGGTTGAGAAAGGCTGACCTAGAGGAAGGATGTAGTACCTCAACAAGAGATGACCAAAGAACAGAATGAAAATCCTGGTAAGACATAAAGTGGTACCTCGGGTTACAGACGCTTCAGGTTACAGACTCAACTAACCCAGAAATAGTACCTCAGGTTAAGAACTTTGCTTCAGGATGAGAACAGAAATCGGGCGGCAGCGGCACGGCAGCAGCAAGAGGCCCCATTAGCTAAAGTGGTAACTCAGGTTAAGAGCAGTTTCAGGTTAAGAACGGACCTCCAGAATGAATTAAGTTCTTAACCCGAGGTACCACTGTATAAATAGGAAAGGGCTAGCACTCTGGAGGTGTCAGTTGCACAGAGAATTATCATAGCGCTGCATTCAGCTCCTGCAGTACAACTGCAGCTTGGAAATCCCTAGAAGATTTTGGATTTGATATCCCGCTTTATCACTACCCGAAGGAGTCTCAAAGCGGCTAACATTCTCCTTTCCCTTCCTCCCCAACAACAACACTCTGTGAGGTGAGGGGGCTGAGAGACTTCAGAAAAGTGTGACTAGCCCATGGTCACCCAGCAGCTGCATGTGGAGGAGCGGAGACGCGAACCCGGTTCCCCAGATTATGAGACTACCGCTCTTAACCACTACACCACACTGGCTCCCCACCACCCTACCTCCCGGAAGCCTGTCTCAATTCCAAGACCATCAATTTCCTGGCCAGCCATGTGCTACTTTGCAGCAATCAAGTACTCATGGAAGAGTCAGACAAGAGACCTCCTTGTACTTTGTTTTTGCATAATTAATATTATTAATTGTAAGTGGGATGCCTATGGCAACCCAAGCTCTGCAGCTGAGCTATAACAGGCGTAAGACCAATGAATTAAGATGCCTATTGACATTCTTCAGGGTTGTGGATTATGCCCCATAAACCCTGTCTGAACTTCACATTTGAAGTAGCATCATACCACTTTCAACAGTCATGGCTCCTCCCAAAGACTCCTGGGAAGTGTAGTTCATTAAGGGTGCTGAGAGTCATTAGGAGACTCCCCATTCCTGCCACAGAGTTACAATTCCCAGGGTTCCATGGGAAAAGGGACTAACTGCAAAACCACTCCGGCAATTGTAGTCCTATGAGGGGAACAGGGAATCTCCTAAGAACTCTCAGCACTGTTAATGAACCACTCTTCCCAGGATTCGGGGGGGGGGCAGTTTAAAGTGGCATAATGCTGCTTTAATTGTACTGTGCAGGCCACAGTCATCATCAGCCTTCAGGCCCAAGATCTGCAAACACACACCTACTATACTGGATTGGATCATTCAAAGAATGTTGCACAAAAGATATCAATCCTCTCTTTTTTTGCAACAGGGTCAATGCATCATAGCTGTTCAGCTGGTTTGGAGCACACTTTGATAGGGCTTCCCTGTCAAAAGAGAAAGGTAAGCAGCAGAGTCGAATACTTTCCCCCCTTTGAACTACCCTAAGTCTCCTACGTGCCAAGCCAGAACCACGCCTGCTGCTGAGAGCTTTACTCAGTGCTGTGCCTACTATGCGGTTTTACAAGAGTGCAGAAAAATGTAACTTTGGCTGAATGTGCCGACAATCTTAGCTTTCCTTTTTAAAACTGCAAGTTCCCAGCCCTTTTGATTGTAAAGATGCTCAAGGGAACGTGGGAAACACTTACTGAAATATCAGAAGGTGACTGGACAAAAGTTGCAGTGCTCAGAGGTCAGGGCTTCCATCAAAACCATTTTTTTTTTCGCAAGAGGGGAAAAAAACAACAGAACAAATTAAGGAGAATTGGATAGATTATGAAAATGTTCATAATTCATACTAGTCACAGAATTCAGCTTTTCTTAGCACAGAATTTGGTTGCTCAGAATTTAGATGGTCTAAAAAATTTTTTTAAGCCCTGGCTTTACTGCTCTCGTCCTACAGAAGCACCAGAAGGCTAAACTAGTGCCAACATGGGAGATTCAGGATGCAATCTTGCACACATATTCCTGAAACTAAATCTCCCTGAACTCAATAGAACTTACTTCTGCATAGGATTACACTGTCAGTCACAGAAGTCCCAATGCAATTTTCCTCTTCTAAAAAACAGCTATGCCCAAATTTGGATTGGAGCTGTGGCAGGAGGAGGAGGAGAGGGAGAGAGATACAGGTACAGCTTGTGTGTCTGTATGTTTTTCCCCTCTGATGCTAACAGCAGCTTTAGGAAGGCGATACATTTGCACTGCATGGTTGGTGCAGGGGCAAAGAGTTAAAACTCCCTCTGCCCCATAGTCCTACTCCAAGCTACATGCATCCCAAGCCACTTTTTGGGAAAAAGGAAAGGAAATAACGCCCGGTGATCCATTCATGGAACTGCTCGCTCTCGTGCCAAGGGATTAAGCTCCCAAGTATCACACATTTACACATTTGGGGATTCTTTCCATTTTAATACCAGGCATACTCATCAAAGAGGAAGCACCATTGTACACAATGACATATGCATGACTCAAGTTGAGTGCCAGGACTATGTTGTTCTCCTGAGTAATTTTGGGGCCAGCCTCACAGCAAGTTGCACACACATCACTATCCACATGCAATTCTAACTGTGCCGGAGATCACAGTGCCTGCAGTGTCAGGAGATTCACTGCATGCAAACGGCGTATATTACTGTCTAAGATGCTTCGTGTGCACACAGAACAGACTGAGCAGATACATCTGTGTAGGTGTGACAGAACAGACACAGACATAAGTGTAAAAACTGTGCTTTTCTATGTCTCCCACCCCTTTCATGCCCTGCTCATCCAGAGGAGTCCATGTTCACCACACATCTTCGGACTACCGTAATCCCCTGCAGCCCTTGTGAAAGGCAAACAAAGCTCACAAATGAGTGTCTTTGAATAGCTTTGCAGGAGCTGAGAAAAGATCTCAGCCTTGGGGCAAAAGGTGTGTACAGTACAGACAGTAAAACCTGCCACCCTAGGCACAGCTGCCCAGCCCTTCACAGCACCTCTCTCCTCCAGCTGCTTTTTGCTCCCTGATTTGTGCTTCTACTCCTAAGTTCCCGGGTTTTCTAGTGCCTTGGATTTTCCTTTCCTTTTGCCTCCAAGCTCCCCCTGGACACATATTTCATCTGACACTTTACTGTTAAAACAGGTGCCAAGGCATACTTCACTGGAGTAGCTCTGGGTTTTGTGCGAGGCTTTCTGGACCTTGAAAGATGCAAGATCAGTAACCAAAGTGAGCAGCGACTCAGGAATGGGACCCACCCTCTAGATGGAATATGGGGATTCCCCTTTCCACATGAGCAAAACCATGCCAGAAAGTTATTTCAAATCATCAGAGCGTCACTCTGGAGTCCTTCCACTTTCTTTGCCTAACTAACTGCTACTTACTCTAGTCTTCCACTAGAGTCCTGAAAGCAATATGCATGAACAGGTGGGTCACCTTGGCCTAATATTCATAGCCTCAGGAAACCACTTTTGACTTGGCAAGAGCAAGTGCATTCAGTGGACAGCATTACCATATGATGTCGGATTGAAGTTCCAGCTCAGCCACAAACCACAAGATAAGTCTTGGAAAGTTGCTAACTTTCAGGGTCCTTTCCACAGTAAAGGCATGATTGTTTTAGCATTATTGTTCCTTATGTGTTGCAGAGTTATTGCATTTCTGCAGCTTGGATTCTGGGTTTTTTTTGGTCACACCACAGGGAAAAATGTAATTTCCACACCACCACCTAAAAAAGTTATTGCATTCATTCTAATTATAGTGAACAAAGCTTCCCTCTACCCTGCAGCATTGGTGTATGGGATGGAGGGTGGAGCCACAGCTCACGGGTGGAGCATGTGGTTGGCATGCAGAAGGTCCCAGGCTCAACCCCTGGCATCTCCAGCTAGTATTACATGATGGGGAAAGACCTCTGCATGCAGAGGCGAAGCAACCTGCTCCAGTACCCAGAGTGGCACGCGTCCCAGGGGGCATGGCACGCATCCCGGGGGTGCCGCCAATTGGGGGGTCAGCATTTTGTCAAAAAAAACCCTTTGGAATGGTACCCGGGGCGGGCTACAACCCTGCTCCCCCTTGGAACGCCCCTGTCTGCATGAGACCCTGTGCCCGTAGACAGTAAGGTAAAGGTAAAGGTACCCCTGCCCGTACAGGCCAGTCGTGACTGACTCTGGGGTTGCGCGCCCATCTCGCTTAAGAGGCCGGTGGCCAGCGCTGTCCGAGGACACTTCCGGGTCACGTGGCCAGCGTGACAAAGCTGCTCTGGCGAGCCTGCACCAGCGCAGCACACGGAAATGCCGCTTACCTTCCCGCTATAAAGCGGTACCTATTTTATCTACTTGCACTTAAGGGTGCTTTCGAACTGCTAGGTGGGCAGGAGCTGGGACCGAATGACGGGAGCTCACCCCGCCGTGGGGATTCGAACCACCGACCATGCAATCGGCAAGTCCTAGGCGCTGAGGTTTTGCCCACAGCGCCCCCCGCGTCCCTGCCAGTAGACAGTACCGGACTACAAATAATTTTGCAAGGCAGAAGTCAGCCTCCTATGTTCCTCTTTCATTTCATGTACTTTTTGCTTTAAAAATGAGGATTTCCTTAGTTCTTTGAAGGCTGTTCCCTCTGTTTCCATAGCCAGATGGTACATCTGCACAGATGTTAAAATATGGCTCCCAAACCTCTACATCTTATTAATGGATTGGCTATCACTTCATTGCCTTTAATGTGGGGCTTGTAACAGGAGAATCCCACAAAGGCTGAAATGTGGGTAGCATGTGTTTTGATTGGCCATCTGGGTAAGGCCTCAGCCTCAGTTTCCAATCTGTAAAAGGAGAATAAATGGTGACAGTGTGCCTCAAGCCTTAAGAAGTGTTGTACAAATTATGAGCCACGGGGGGGGGGGGAGGGGGGGAGGAAGCTTACCAACGTAGAATTATAGAATTGGAAGGGACCCCCAAGGGTCATCTAGGACAATCCCCTGCAATCATCACACAAAGTACAGTGGCTAGAATGTTGGATCAGGGGGACCTGGTGCGAATCCATGTTCAGCTCAGTAAATTTCCCTAGATTACCAATCTAATCTACTTTGTAGGGTTGCTGTGATGATATCCCCAATCCGAAGATGCCACCCTGACGCGAAATTATTTGGGATTCCAGTGCAAATATTCCATCCTTTTCCATTTACTCTGCCCTTCCTGCTCCACGGGGGTGAGCTGTCAAAAGGACAGGCCCAGGGGGCTTAACAGCTGGTTGACAATGCAACATATTATAGAATTCAGAAGGGACTCCCTGCCTAGAGTGGCCAGAGGGCTGACATTCCTTTGACTGCATGAGAACATCCACAAGAAGAACAATTATTATTATTATTATTATTATTTAAAAAACTATTAACAGCTGGTGTACAGGTGAGGACAAAACCAGACAAGAAGTAGAAGCAGACTGTGAAAGAAAATGGATGAAGAGAGGGCTTCTTCTGAGCTGCCACACTTATCCTGAGAAGCATTTCAGCCAGAATGCAGAGGGTGAAGTGCCTCTGACCACATGCAGAGTGCTTTTTCCTTCCTACTAAGTAACTACCACCAAACCAGCTCCACACATGTTGGATTGCAGAGAAGTTGCAAAGATGCCAGTTTCTTCAAACCCAGAACCTCCCATTACAGACACTGGACGTCACTCACTAGCAAAACTGAACCTTTCCGTTCAAGGGGACGCACTTTCCAGTAAGTGCAATTAGGCTGCAAGTTGTAAACACTCTTACCGAACTCCGCGGGACTTACTGCCGAGTAAACGCGCTGAGCAGGGAACCTGCGGCCCTCCAGATGTTGACAGACGTCACCTCAGCTCCCATCGGCACAGCCAATGGTCAGGCAAGTGATGGGAGTTTGCAGTCCAGCCACCATCTGGAGGGCCGCGGGATCCTCAGCGCGGGAAGACGGAGGAGGAGGAGGCCCGGCGGGCGCAACACGTGAGAGGAGGAGCGCGCGGACGAAGCCCAGGCAACGCGCGCGCGCGCCCCCTAACCAAACCCCGGCGGAGAGGGGCAGCAGGACACCCCGCCGGCACGAGGCAAGGAGAGCGCCCGGACGCGGCGGCATCACTTCGCTCCGGAGCCAAAGCTGCACCGGCCACCACCTGGCTTGCAGAGCCACAGAAAGGAAGGAAGAAAAAGCAGCAGTAGCGGCTGCTCTTCTTGCACCGCTTGCTGGGGAATCTGCTCCCCCTCGAAAGGCGGGAGTTACCTGCTGCTGCTGCTGCTGCTGCTGCTGCTGCTGCTGGTTTCGCCGCCGCTTGTGAGCATAATCTGCCAACTCCCCTTGCAACGCTGCAGTTCCTCCTTCTCCTCAGCGGGAGCCCGCCTGAGCGCTTTCCGCGATGCACATCGGAGAGACAAGGAAACCAAGCGGCTCTCCACAGGCAGCGGGGAGTAAATCTGGACGGAGTCCCAGCGGCGCTGTTGCCAAGGGGGGCGGGGGGCGCGAAGGGGCTGTATGTGCGGAGGGTCCGCCCCTCCTTCTGGCTGCTGCCGCCGCCGCCGTTCCGGCCTTTTTGCTCTCCCGGAGTCCCTTAAGTCCAAGCACTCCCCGGCTGGCTGTCGGAAAATGGGGAGCGGGCGAAGAGCCGGCGGGCCGCACCTCCCGTCAGCCCCTCCTCCGACCCTCTCAGGTGGAAGAGGCGGCTTCTCTTCTCGCGTGTCAGGCGGCTGGGAGTGGAGCTGGCGAGGCCACACCCAAGAGCTTCCCCCTTGATGTGGGGCTGCCTTCTCTTCTTTGGTAAGGATTTGATTTATTGATTTATTTTCATCGCCTCTTAAGTTTTTCCTCTTGCTCCAAGAGCAAATCGAATCGGGAAGGGACAGCAACTTGTAAGATATGCTGCCACACACACAATACTTCCCAAAGTTCTATTACGAAATTAAAAGACGCCTGCTTCTTGGGAGAAAAGCAATGACAAACCTACACAGCATCTTAAAAAGCAGAGACATCGCCTTGCCAACAAAGGTCCGTATAGTTAAAGCTATGGTTTTCCCAGTAGTGAGGTATGGAAGTGAGAGCTGGACCATAAAGAAGGCTGATCGCCGAAGAATTGATGCTTTTGAATTATGGTGCTGGAGGAGACTCTTGAGAGTCCCATAGACTGCAAGAAGATCAAACCTATCCATTCTTAAGGAAATCAACCCTGAGTTCTCACTGGAAGGACAGATCGTGAAGCTGAGGCTCCAGAACTTTGGCCCCCTCATGAGAAGAGAAGACTCCCTGGAAAAGACCCTGATGTTGGGAAAGATGGAGGGCACAAGGAGAAGGGGACGACAGAGGACGAGATGGTTGGACAGTGTTATAGAAGCTACAAACATGAGTCTGACCAAACTGCGGGAAGCAGTGGAGGACAGGAGTGCCTGGCATGCTCTGGTCCATGGGGTCACGAAGAGTCGGACACGACTAAAGGACTAAACAACAACAACAAGTACAGATATCAACAATCCAGGGGAATAGGCTATAATTATTTCAGTTTCACAAAGGAGGGGAATAACGGTAGTGAGCTGCTTTGGAAGGCCATGCATGCAGGTCCCAGCAAAGGCAAGACTAACACTTGGGTCCTTGAGATGCGCACCTTGCTCTCTGCATATCAGACCACTCTGCCTTTCTGTGTACAAGTCAGGTTTAACTTTGTAGTGGGGAAACTCAGGTGTAGGATAAACCTCTTGTTCCCAGCCACAACACGAGACCTTTGGACCAGGTTTTCTGTAACAAGCAAGGTATGTGCTTCTGGAAATCATGATTCTTGTCATGAAAGTTATTTTTCCCTATGTGCCAAAGGAGCAAATCATCACAACAGTGCATTAGTACCTTATTAGTAACCAACATGCAAATCAAATTGGATGACCGGCAACAAGGGGATTTCCTTTCTGCTTTCACCCCTGAACCTTTGACACGGGATAGAGATCATTGAATGGGTTCTGATGCAGATAGTGGCTTCAGCATCCAACCTAGTTTTTCTCCTTCCTTTGCTGGTTTCCATCTGCTGCTTTTAACATCAACCTGGTGCTCTCAGGGCATTTAGGACTAGAACTCTCATCAGCCCAGCGAAGAGTTATGGAGAATTTGAATGCTGGTGCTGCGGAACCAAAGGAAAGTATTGCTCAACTGTGGATTTGAGAGTGTTGTGCTTAATTCACAGGCTTCTAGATTCTGGGATCCAGTGTTGTAAAACGACTGAAGAGGCGTGATCTCTTTCAAATAATAAATGAGCAACAAGTGATATCTGTAACTTGATGTTTGCATTGCTTTGATGGGTTCCCTTAATAAACTGTGTAGAAAATGTAATGAATTCTTTTGAGTTGGACAGTGGAGAGAATCGCCCAACCCCTTCAGAGTGTTTTTAAGGGATTCTCTCCTTTTTCTAAAACAACAGAAAGATCTTTATCACATTCTAGTGGTTTTTACCTAAGCAAATTCAATGAATAGAATGACCTTATTTCTGGTCATGTATGCAAAATCACTTTCATGTTATTCATTCATCTGAAATAACTATCTCCTGGTTCCATGCACATGCTCACTTTCATGTATGAAGACCCTCATTTTACCTATAATGTAAATGCACTTACCTAGATGTGCAGTTCTAGCCCCACCCCAACCCCCTTTAAGCATGAAGCAACCCTACTTTGGGCCAACATCACTCCCACTCCCTCTTTTGATTTTCACAGGTCAAGCTTAGAACAGCAAGAGCTCTTTTAAGTCTTACTGGGACACAACACAAATATTTAAGGTTTGTTGATTCTATAGAGGCAGGGCACCCCAAACTGTTTATCTCATCTCCATTCATCATCCCTTCAACAACAGTTTAAGGTACAGACTGGGGTGGGTCAGGGTAAAGGAAAACATCTGCACAGAAGTAAGAATCACAAAATGCACCCTCTAATTTTCACTTGGGATTTTTAATCTAAGCACATTCTGGCATGCCAGGAAAATGTCTCAGAATTTTCTAAGCATCTTTATCACATACACAGCCCAACAAGACAACGACAAGAATCCACCAACAGCATACGGAATCAATATGGCTAACCTGATACGAAAACACCCCCACCCACTCACACATGTATAAGACGCCCCCTATTTTGGGGGACTCATGAATCGCCAACCCACCCTTGGCACTATTGGTGTATAAGATGCCCCCTAATCTTTGACATTGTTTTTTAGGGGGGAAACTTAGTCTTATACATGGAAAAATACAGTATCTTAGTTCCAGCAAAGAATGTGTCCATTGCTCCTTGGCTGGCAATTGCAAGTTAATGCACATGGTTATAATCTTTTTTTGCTAATTTACCCCTCTGGCATCTCTTTGCTTATCACAAACAGGTTCACCATGAGTGAAAGTGAGATTCATAATTCCCCCCAGTGGGTGAGAGAGTGAGTGACCAAGCAGAACCTAAGAGGCTACAATGGGTTTAGAAATATTTATTTTGAACGCATCAGCAGAAGACCTCTGAATGTATTTTGGTTTATAAAAGACATAATCATACTAATATCAAAGAGAAATAAACAGCACACTATACATAAATAAATCTTGGTAGAAGGGGGAAAAAATCTAGAAATAATAAAGTGCCAATTACATGTAAAGATTACCATATGCAAGATTAAAATTAACTATGCCTATCTCAGTGTAAAAATATTATAAGGAGCAATGGAATGTTAAAACAAAGTTTTATTCTCTGTGTGTGTTCCAAAAAAGATGTGAATTGACATCAGAAAAAAAACTGTTTTTGTGAAACAGAGCTGAATCTAAGATTGAGCCCAGAGAAGAAATGTAAACTCCCTGTTCCCTAACACATCAAAAATATTTTACTGATGCTGATTGCTTTCCTTTGCTCACAACTAAATTTTGTTTCGTATTAGTAAATGAGTAAAACCTGCTGAAACAGTTCTCAATTGTTTTAGGCACTGACATGATCCCAAGTCTTCCTGGGCTCCAGGAAGACTCACAAAATTCACTTAGTGTTGCTAGCCACATGGAGTAACATATCTTGCATCTTTCACATTGGTGTATTGTCTTAGCTCGCCTAAGACCTTGTCAGCATTTCCATTTTTTGCACTTCAGACAGAAAAAAACCTCATTTGTGCCCTCAAGGCAGACATTCACGCCTACTTCAGATAATGCAAAGAACCGTCCAAACTTAGATAATGGTTCAGTCTTCTAGAGTCAATAGTACACCAGGATTGTGACCAGCTAGTATCTCGAGCTGCAGCTTCCTAGGGAACAGGCAGTTCCATTAGGTCCTTTTGACCTTGTATCATAGCCAGATTGGGGGGGGGGGGTCCTGTTTTTGAAAGAGCCATTGCTTTCACTGAAAATGGTCATATAAATTGTCATGTTGTGTGACTCATCGCCACTGCTCACATTGGCATCAGTTATGCAAACCAGCCATGCAGAACTCCGGCAGGCCTGCACAACTTCTGATCCTGCAAGTCGAACACAAGCCCCCAGCCACGTGCGGCAGCACCAGCGTAGCAAGCACATGGCCTGCCATCATGCGTGGCTGGTAGGCTCCATTCAGTTTGGTGGGACAGAAGTCAAGGGACATATCCAGGGTGACAACCCATGCAGGTCTCTGCTCTAAGGTGTCAACACTTAGAGCAGAGCATTTGCTTCACATGCCAAAGGTCTCAGATTCAATCCCTGGCATCTCCAGGTAGGGCTGGGACTGGGAGAGAACACTGTATGAAACACTGGAGAGCTGATACCAATCAGTATAGGCCAGGCATCCCCAACCTTTGGCCCTCCAGATGTTTTACACTACAATTCCCATCATTCCTGACCGCTGGTCCTGTTAGCTAGGGATCATGGGAGTTTTAGGCCAAAAAATCTGGAGGGCCACAGGTTGGGGATGCCTGGTATAGACAATACTGAGATAGATGGGATAATGCTCTGACAGCTTCCTATGATCCCAGCAGGACAGATGTTTGTCCTGGAAGCCATGAGGAGGAGGAACATTTCAGCTCATGGTGGTGGAGGAGGACAGCACTCCTCCCTCCTTTCCTCTGCCTATAGGCAAGCCTGACACAGTACAACCAGCAGAGGGTGTAAGGGCTTGCACTCAGTAGCCAGACCTTAACCTTCATTAGGCTTAACCTTAGCCTTCATTGTAAAGAAGGCAACCTTAATACTGCTACTTCCTGCCACAGAGAACTATCATTCAGAGTCTTTCTAAACAATCCTCTCTTTTTTTGTATGATAGCTGCATGGCTTTGATTCATTTGCTACATAATCCAGGCATTCCCCCTCCCAATATGTGAATAT